TCTCTCTCTCCCCCCTTCTCTCTCTCCCCCCTTCCCTCTCTCTCCTTCTCTCTCTCTCTTTTTCTCTCTTCTGTTTCTTTTTCTTCCTTCCTTCCTTGTTCCCATGTCCTGCCCCTTTTTTTCATTGGATTTCAGGTCTTTCAATCCTGTTGGCTCAGTCTTTATGCAAATGAATCCTGCCTAGGAACACCCACTCCTCCAGACTGACACCCACCCAACAAGGCTTTTTAATATTTGCATAACTCCTCCCAAGAGCCCGCCCATGGCTTGCATCAGGAATGAGGGCTCTTGAGAGGAGTAGTAGCCCTTTTCTCCCCAGTCTGACTGCCCCTGGCATTATGTAGGGTGGTCTGCATGTCCAATGCAGATAATAACAATGGAACACCCACTCCTCCTGACTGACATCCACCTATTAAGGCATTTTGATACTTGCATAACTTCTCCCAGGAGCTGGCCCACTGAGGCAGGGTGCTGGGATGTTTTCAGGAAGCTATGTACAGCACTCTGCCAGCTCCTCCCACCAGCCATGATCCGCCTGCATTGCAAGGAGTATAAAATAAGGATATATAATGAAAACGGTTTTATTTAATATTATAATTGGCATGTTGATGGTGGTGGTGGTGGGGTGGCAGGGGGAGCCAAAATATAAGCAGATTAAACTTTAGTTTTAACCCTTCCCTGCTCTATTTTTAGATGTAAACAGTGGGATCTTCCAAACTTCAGCAAGTTTAGCAGCTCACTACCGCTGGTCCTTTTTTTGGAGGTGCTATTTAATGAATTATATAATCGAGAGGTCCCAAAAACTGTTTGTAGGACCCCATTTTAGCCTTGACCACAGATTGCTCAGCCTTGTTCAAACATTTATCAATGACTGCGTTCAGCCAAACAGATAAGGTCAGAGAAGATGAAGATAATAGAGCTCAGACCCTCTTCAAACAAAGACGTTGTCTCATCTACATAAGAAAGTTCAGAGCGCAGCAAGTTCTCCGGAGCAAAAAGCTTCAAAGCTTTTGACTGAGGCCCAACCAAAGCGCCTATCCACAGGCGTCCATTTTTTTTATGAAGGATCCTTGAAGATGACGCTCAGCAGACGTCAAGGACGGACCCGCCAGCGGCAGCTGCTCCATCTTTTACTCAGCGGCCCCACTTAATTCTCACTTATGAAACAGATGAGCCTGTTTGTCGACTAAAACGGCTACCTGCTGGGCCCCGGGACCTTCCAAGGACCGCAGCCAGTTCCCCTTTTTACCTAGACTTCTGTCTTCTGCTGCGGAGATTAACAACAAGAAAAACAAGTCGTCGTCCCCCCTACACACCAGGAGGGTCCCTGCAACGTGGTATCTTTGTAATGGCTTCATGTCAAGAACACTTAGATCTATCTCTGGGACAAAACCAAACATTGGCTACATGACAAATCTTCTAAGAC